TATATTATATTATTGTAATTGTTAGGTGCCATTGAGTCGATTCTGACTCATAATGACCCTATGTATAACGGCACGAAATACTGCCCTGTCCTGCACTATCCTCACATTCCTTGCTATACTTGAGCCCATCATTGCATCCACTGTGTCAGTCCATCTCATTGAGGGTTTTCCCCTTTTTTGTTGACCCTCTACTTTACCAAACATGATCTCCTTCTCCAGGGAATGGTCCCTTCTGACAACATGACTGACCAAAGTAGGTTAGATGAAGCCTGGCCATTCTCACTTCCAAGGAGCATTCTGGCTGCACTTCTTCCAGGACAGATTTGTTCTTTCTTCTGGCAGTCCAAGGCATTTTCAGTAGTCTTAGCCCACACCACAATTCAAAGGCATCAATTCTTCTTCAGTCTTCCTTATTCATTGTCCAGCTTTCACATGCATATGAAGCGATTAAAACTACCATGGCTTGTGAGAGGCACACCTTAGTCTTCCAAGTGACACTGTTGCTTTTCAACACTATAAAGAAGGCTTTTGCAGCAGATTTGCCCAGTGCAAATTGATGTCTGATTTCTTGACTGCTGCTTCCATGGAGTGTTGATTGTGGATTCAAGCAAAATGAAATCTTTGACAACTTCAATCTTTTCTCCATCATGATGTTGCTTACTGGTCCAGTTGTAAGGATTTTTATTTTCTTGTTGAGGTGTAATCCAGTCTGAAGGCTTCAGTCTTGGATTTTCATCAGTAAGTGCTTTAAGTCCTCTTCACTTACAGCAAGTAAAGTCATGTCATCTGCATATCACAGATTGTTCATGAGTCTTCCTCCAATCCTCATACCATGTTCTTCCCCATATAGTCCAGCCTCTCAGATTATTTGCTTAGCAAACAATCTGAGTAAGTATAGTGAAAAGATACAACCTTGACACACACATTTCCTGATTTTAAACAGTGCAGTATCTCCTTGTTCTGTTCAAACAACTGCCTATGTATCTGTCTATATACAGATTCCTCATAAACATAATTAAGTATTCTGGAATTCCCATTCTTCAAAATACTATCCATAATTTGTTATGATTCATACAGCTGAATGCCTTTGCATAGTCAATAAAATATAGGTAAACATATTTCTGGTATTCTCTGCTTTCAGCCAAGATCCACATGATAGCAGAATTGATACTTCTTACTCCACATCCTCTTCTGAATTCAGCTTGAATTTCTGGCAGTTCCCTGTTGATGCACTGCTGCAACTGTGTTTGATCTATCTTCAGTAAAACATCTCGTGAGCACCCATTTGACCCTCTCAGTCACCTAGTGATTGCCCAGGGTCACACAGCCGTAAACCACTGGGCCAGGATTCCAACCCAACGTTTCTTACTTCAAATCCTGTATCATTCCACTATTCCACTGCCTAGATGAACCTCAAACCATTGAGTACGGCTCCTGCTTGGGCCTGCTTCATGAGCCAGGATGGAAACAGACCCTAAACTCCTTTCTGAGCCCCATGCACAAATGTCTGCCTCACGCCTCTAGCCTTGGCCCAGGCTATGCCCTCTGTCAGAAAACATGCCCCCTTTCTTGCTGGTGAATCAGATTTCAATCCGAGAACCCAGCTCAGACATGGCTCTTCCAGAGAGAGCTCCAGGCTCCACTCAGGCTGAGTTCACACTTGCACTCTGCCAGGTCATTAACCACGGTGTGCCTTAGTTTCCCCATTTGTCATTCAGTCTCACTCTGTAGACTGTGGTAAAGATTACATGGGATGTGCTGAGCAGAAGGCTCAGACCATGGTTTGTATCAGAGAGTGAAAGATGTTGATGATAAATACCTGAAACAACAGACAGGAGCTGCAGGATGAATAACGGCCTTGTTTTTCCTGCAGGTGTGACAGGTGAAGAGCTGACGGTGACTCAGCCTAAGAGAGTGTTGGCTACAGCTGGAGAGGCAGTCACTCTGCCTTGTGTCATGTCCTCTCTGCAACCCTTGGGGCCCACTCAGTGGTTCAGGGGGACTGGGCCAAATCGGCAGTTAGTTTACAGTTTCAAAGGAGGCCTAGACCCCATTCGCCTCTTCCCCCGGGTGAGAAATGTTACAGACTCCACAAAAAGAGGCAACTTGGACTTTTCCATTCGCATCATTAACATCACTCTAGCAGACGATGACACCTACTTCTGTGTGAAGTTCACGAAAGGATCCCCTGATGACGTCGAGTTTAAGTCTGGTGTCGGGACACAGGTGACCGTGAGTAGTGAGTACATTGTGGGGCTCCGCCCCCTGGTGTGACAGCAGCTCAGTGATAACGCCCTCTGTTCTTTTAAGCAACAGCCAAGTGTCAGGTGTGGTGGTGGGTGCTTACATTCACAGTCACCTTTCATCCCCTTTTACAGAGCAGGGAGCTGAGACCTAGAGGTCATGCTATTCGCTCAAGGCCCCACAGCTGATAAAAGGTGGAGAAAAGTCTGGAAACATAGTCACCCTGACTTTAAATCTTTATCTTTTCCTATCTAGTACCTGCAGATGAGGGAGCTGAAAGTCTGGGCAACTTCCCAGTCATAGGCCAGACCTTACCTCCTACTCTCAATTCTTTCCCTGTATCATGGTTGTGTCTTCTCTTACTCAACAAACATTTGCTGAAGACCTGCTGTGTGCCAGGCTCTACTCTCAGGGTTTGGAATCAGCAATGCACATAGTAGGGAAAATCTCTTCCCCATGAAGCTTCTGTTGTCTTCTTTACAAGGAGGAGAGGATCGGTCCAGGGCAGAGATGGGGACATGAGTTTCTTTCTTTAGTCTTCAGAAACATCACACTGAGCAGAAAGTCCTAAGAGGCAAAGACTCACTGTTTGATCTGAAAGCCCTGGTTGGGGGAGATGCCAACAGGACTGGCTTTGCTGGGGGCTGTCAGGAAAACCCTATGCTTTTCAAGATTGACACCTCCACTGAGCACAGAGGGCTCCAAGCTAGGCCTGGTCATCTCAGAATCCTTCATCCCAGAGAAGAGCCTCCATATGTTAGTGACTTAAGAGTAACCCAGTTGAGGCAGCAAAGAAGATGCTTCTTTTGGGTTTTCTGCCAGAGGCCCAGGATCCTCTTCCCAACTCCTGGATCCTGGACTATCAGCCCCGAGGACCTTTAGACACCATCCAGCCCAGCCCCCACTCACAGATGGGGAGCCTGAGGTCAGGAGATGACAGGGCCCTGCCCACAGTCATGGGTGAGTTAGAGATGGGATCTGGATTAGCACCCAGATGTGGTTCCAGGTCAGGCTCCCTGCTGCTCTGGCATTAGACGCTGTATCCACAGAAGAGCCTGGTGCACAGTAGGTGAGGAATAAAAGCTCGTTGAACCCACACCATTAAACAGGAGCCAGCATTGTTCCATTTCCTCAGTTTCCCAAAGGTTGAGAATGACCCTCACACTCAGACCCCAAGGCCTATGGGTGATTGCAAAGCCTCTCTCAAACTTAAGCCAGGTCGTTCTATATCAGCCAAGTCAGTCTATACAGACACCGCAAAAGCTCAGGATATGTTGACCCTGTTCCTCAAAGAGGCATCTGAGCATCCTGACAGCCTTGAGGCATCTGTTCCCCCATTGACATGATGTTGCTCCTCCCCCAGCAGCCTGGGAGCCAGCTCTGTATAAACAGCAGGCTGATGAACAGGGAGGGACCCAGGGCAACCCCACAGAGAACGAGTGCCCTCTGCACAGCTCTGAAGACCGAGGATGCTGAGAGGAAGGCAGTCCCTGGAGGGCGCTTGGGGTCCCGGGTGAGCAGATGTTCATATTCCAGACGCAGGTTGTCAGGGGCCCAGCGTCTTCTGTTTATTGCTGCAGAGTAACCGGCCCAGGCACTGGCCGAGGGCGACTTCTCGCTGTAACCGCTGGAGCCAGGGATCGCCAAGGGAAGAGGGAGGGTGGCCAGTGTCAGGGCTCCTGAAGGTGGGCATTTGCTCTGTTGATGGCGTGTGAAAGCTTAGGGGCCACAGGACACTCCCAGTGGGACACAGTCACTTTATCCTTCAAAGCCTCACTTTTCTCATCTGCAAAATGGTGATAATCATGGTTGCCTTTTTGGAGAGTGAAGGGATTTGAGGTCCTTTGTGTAAAGCAACTACACAGAGTGAGCACTCAGAAAATATAGGTGTTACCTCAAGGACAACCTGACACCCCCACTGAGCACAGAAGGCTCCAAGCCAAGCCTGGTCATCTCAGAATCCCTCATCCCAAGGAACAGCCTCCACACATGGGTGACTTAGGAGTAACCCACTTGAGGCTCAGTTTCCTGCCTGTGGATTGTGGATAATCGCACCCACCTTTCTAGATGTTAGTAGGAATATAATGAGACGAATGCAAGAATTAAATTTAAAAAAAAAAAAATGCATTGCAACCCTACAGGACAGAGTAGAACTGCCCCACCGGGTTTCCAAGCCTGTAAATTTTTATAGAAGCAGACTGCTTCATCTTTCTCCTGCAAAGCAGCTGGAAGGATCACATTGTCAGCCTTTTGGTTAGTAGATGGGTGCCTTAACCACACCACCAGAGCTCCTGGATGTAAATAAAGTCTGGGTTAGACAGATGTCCATTTGTTTATTTCTGTTAAGCATCTTCTGTGGTTGGTCCAGAGCAGGAATGCTGGCATGGCCTCAGATGATCTTCATCAGCCCTGGGAGGAGAATGCTTATGGTCCCATTTTACAGATGGGGAAGCTGAGATCACACTACCAGTGGACTGGACAGCCTGGGTTCTGCTTTCACACTGGTCCCACTCTGCCACTTCTTCCCCTGCATATACTTCTATAAACGTTTTCTCTGGAATGAGAAGGCTTCCAGGTGAAGCCAGACAGGAATAGTTAATTCCTAAAGCAGAGAGAGATTGATGAGTAATTTTGTTCTGGTGCCGAGATTGGCGGGAAATCACCTTGTACAGAGAAAAGAAGGTGAATGTTATTAGACTTTCATGTCAACTCCTCCACAAGGCTGCCCTTCGTCAGGTCCCTTCACCTGGGGGATGAGGACAATACTCTGTGTAATGAAGACAGTGACCCTCCCTCCCAGCGTTATCAGCAGGATTAGAGAGTATTGTGCACAAAAAGCCACATGCTTGTCATTCACGGTGACAGTGCAGTGATGATGATTGCTTACAAATGCTCCTTCTTGTAGCCAAGCCCTCTGCCATCATGCTATTGGGCCCCACGGCAAGGACCACACCTGGGCAGACAGTGAATTTCACCTGCGAGTCCCACGGCTTCTTCCCCAGAGATGTCACCCTGAAGTGGTTCAAAAATGGAAATGAGCTCCCAGCTCTGCAGACCAAGGTGGTCCCGCCAGGCAACAGTATCTCCTACAACATCTCCAGCAGGACCCAGGTGTTGCTGACCCCAGAGGATGTCCACTCTAAGATCATCTGTGTGGTGGCCCACATTACTTTGAGGGACTCTCTTCTTGCGACAGCCAACTTGTCTGAGATCATCCGAGGTAGATGACGCTCACACTCAGCTCAGACCCTAAACCTGGTCCCAAGTCTGCTCACCCCAGGTTTGCTCCTGGCCTTGAACTGCCTGGAATACAAATCCTAATAATAATAATAATAATAATTGCCATCAAGTCGTTCCGGACTTATAGCGACCCCTCTTTGGGTTTCTGAGGTGATATCTCAATGGAAGTAGATTGCCCAATCTTCCTTCCTAGGAGTGGCTGGTAGTTTGGAACCTCCAGCCTTCCGGTTAGCAGTCAAATGCCTTAGGCACTATGCCACCAGACCAAAAAAAAAAAAAACCAAACTCACTGCTATCCACTCAATTTTGACTCATAGTGAACCCTCCTTGGGTTTCCAAGGCAGTATCACTATGGAAGTAGATTGCCCCATCTTCCTTCTGAGGGGTGGCTGGTG